TGGCAGTTTTAGACGCGTATGCCGTCCTGACTGGGCGTCAGCGTCGTGCCCTCATCAACTCTGAATGTGTCATATGCAAGTCTGCTGACAGACACGAATGCTACAAATACTGCGCTGAAAGATTTGGTCGTCTAGACAACGCGATCATACACTCACATCGCACATGCACACAGCTGCACACATAATGTGGATTTGCCAACAAGTTTGTCTGGTCGGCTAGACAACGCTATCACACATGCGCCGCCCAGCATCCATTCAGTACACACATACATGCACCAAGAGTGGACTTGACACTGTTTTGTTCGTCTTGGTCAGCAGGCGCGCTGCTGATATCCGCACACTGCTCGGTCAACTTGGTAGATTGCTGGAACGCTCAGCACATCAAAATCAGGCATGAATACCTGGCAGGAAGCGGCAAGTCAGCTTCCAGCCAAAAGCAACGAGCAATCGAGCAGATGCGCAGACGAGTAGAAGTTTCACTGCGGCAGATGCGGCCAGGCCAGAGGTGTGAGGCCGTGGAGCAAAGCTCTGAACCTGGTGACCAAGTCATAAGACGAAACTAGAGCGAGCAAGAAGCAGAGCGCAAGGCACAAAACACAAACAGAGGTCCAGGCTACAGTGTCGAGTTGACCAAGAGCTGCACATGCTTCCACCAAAGGCCCGCAAACTCCTGCATCCAGCTCCACAGGGCAGCATCCTCAGCGAGATGAGGAAGCTGGGAAATTCACGCCCTGACTTCCTGCATCGCAGCCATAGATTAGCGTGTGAACCCCTACATAAACACAGCTCTTGTTGCTTCGTGAAGTCAACGAGCCAGCGCACTGGGCTTAGGTCTGGACTGGTTTGGCCTCCGCAGCCTGAAGAAGACCTCCAAGCTCGGAAGGAAGCAGAGTTCTCCAGGTCACACACACAATTTGTTTGTTCCTCTGTGCTTTCCAGTATTTTCAGGCCTGGAAACTGGCGCTGGTCCCAGGGTGGAGGTTACAACCCCACAGACTTGAACGAGGCACATGGAGCTGTGTGTCCCTAACCGCCTCTTCCTGTCTTGCGTTTTGCAGTGTATGGAGCAGGTGTGGGATGAGATAGGTTACAATCCGTACACTGGGGTGGCTTGGCTGAAGGATCACTTACTCACAGACTCACAGATCAGCCAGAACAGCTGTCAGAGCCGAGGAGTATCGGGAGCCGCAGGATAGAACGGCTGATGAGGACAGCTGCGCATCATGACATGCTAGTGAGACCACTTTCTTCTCTTCGGTTCTCATGGTTCTGCCCAGCTTTGCTTGCAGGACTGGCAGGAGACCTGGGTCGAGCCCCCGCTTTGGGCAACAAGCTCGTTTCCAAGCTGCCTCAGTTTTCATCGTGAGGTGCAGCTGAGGGGTTCCGATGGAGTGTTTGGCAGGTCGGCCTGACCCGAGTCCACCACCCTCCAGGCCATGCAGCAGAATCGGCTGAACAGAATCTTTGAGCTTGTGCGCACTTATCTCTCTTTGCTTCTCAGGCCGCGCTCGCCCCTGCAGGAGGCGTGCTGCGCGGCAACCTTGTGCAGGGTCCTTGACCACCGTGTGCTGACAGGCCCCAGAGTTCCCCATTGCTCAGATTCTGCCATACCTTGCCATCGTTGCAGTGTCCGCCTCCCAGCTCCTCACTGCAATTGCATGTACAGACAGCTGTCAAGGGAACCCCCGGAAGATTTTAAGCTCAAAGATCGTGTTGCGCAGAGCTCTCGCCGCAGCGGCTGGGAACACCAACTAAGACCCGCAACCCCGCCAGTGCTTGTGACATGCTGGTGCGTTTGCTTGTGTTATCGGTGGTCCGAAAGTTCCTTGGATCGATGTTGATAGAGTGTAGGACCAGGTCCTAGACGCGTCTCCCCATGTCTCCAGCAATCTGCTTCGACGGCTCGAGCTTCTCTTTGTATCTGTAACGAAGGACCCCCTCAAAGAGGTGGGCCATGGGCAGTGAGGATTCCCACCTGTTTCTACCGAAGGGGTGGTCTAGAAAAAAGGCGGGTTGAGGTGTCCATCCGCCATATCATGAACATGCCAGTAAATAGGCGGGCGACCCAGCAAAAAGCCTCGTCATGTTGGGACGCCGAGGTCAGTGTTCTTTGCGCTGGCCCCAGAGCAGCTGTGCCTACCCCAGTAGCTTGGATTCCTTCAAGTCTGGTGTCATGCGATTCTTTCTTCAGGCCATGGGTCTCTGAAGAGGAGCGTGCGCGCCGCTATCAGGAGATAGAGCGCTATGAGGAGCTGAAAGCCCGGCAGCTGGAACAGCACCTGGGACGGCCATAAAGAGGTTCTTTGCCAACTTGCAGCTCATCTCTAGCCAGAGGCGACGACTTGAAGAGATATTTTGGCGGCAGAACCTGGAGAAGTGGCAGAAAGGGCAACTGTATGTGCTTGCCTTAGCATCGAGAAGCTTTGGCAGAACGTGGCACAATTGCTACAAGAAGTACAGGGCCTTGCTGAAGACGTGACTCCAGAGCAAGATCAGCCGGCTTCCCAAGTAGGGGAATGAGATGCGTGTTTGCATTTCCTGGAGTGAAATGGCCCTTTGTTTATGAAAGGAACATTTTTTCGACCTTAGGCCACGAGTCCAGCGTGCGACTGGGGAGTGGGTGATTGAAGACAGAACTGACGCAGCAAGCGGGAATTCGTGACGCATTACGTAGGTGTTCCATAGTTTGGACAAGCAGGACGCAAACGCGTCACAATGTGGGACAGAGCCCATGCCGTTTGCAGATTGCAGGCCGTGCATGACAAGAACTCAAGAGACCTTAGTGCAGTCACACGAAGTTGCGATCTGACTTGCATTATCCACATGAACGGTCTCAAAGTTAAAGTGTGTCAACCACCTCCAACCCCCCACACGCCACCCACCACCCCAACCCCGCCTCCATCCGAGCCCACCATACAACCCAACCACCCCTGCCTCACTCCACCATCACCATCACTGCCGCTGGAGGCGGGCAACAGAAGGCCTTGATATTTATGCATTTTTTTGACCACAAGAAGTGGTACGCAATCGTGGGCAAAGAAGTGGTACGCAATCGTGGGCAAACTGCAACTGGCGTAATTCGAGTTTCCATGAGGCTGCAGGTGGCTGCAGTGGTGGCTCACCTTCTTCAGCTTGTACAGCTCCCTGCTCTGCGTCGACAGCTTCTGCCTGGAAAAAAGCATGGCGATTGCCTCCACAAGGTGTTTGCTTCGTTAGTTCATTCCGGCTGGATCCACAGAGTTGTAAACGGCCGCTCGGGCTCGACACCCTTTATCTACGGATTGAGCAGCTCGGGTTTCCGCCTCTTCCTTTTGTTCAGGGATTGCTTCACCGGCCCGAGGCACATGGCCTCCCTCCCTATGCCCAAGCTCCCTGTCGCTGAGCACAGGGGCCTTTCCAGTTTCTGGGTCGAGGGGATTGCTAATTTTCTCCAGCTGGGCGTTATCTTGCTGCAGTAGCTCAGTGACTTCCGTAGCTGACAGGCTGAGTTGCCTACGGATTTAGAAGCTTTCAGGACGCGTCCAGCAATACGTAATCTGTGCCAGAGTTCATAATTGCAAGATTATTACAGTACACAGTCGTCTCTCTTTTTTACACTCGCAATGGTGTTCCTGGTTTTGATGCAGCATGTTTCAACGCAATTGTCACACTCTATGTATACCTGAATCCATTATGTTATCCGGTCAGCCTTGAGTACTTTGTCATGTGGGCCGCTTGCTTAGGTAAAGCAATGACTCCTGGGATTCCCACCGAAACGGATGGCGATATTTTAGGATTGTCCCCTTCCCAGCCAGGAACCTGTGCAGTGCAGCCAAGAGCGGCATCGCACCGTTGCTAAACCAGCTAAAGCCAACTTTTCCATGGATATGTAAGGCATAGGTACGCAACAGAGCTTACAACCAGACTGGTGAGAACTGCGAGGCAGACGCATAAGGTCGCACCGTAGCTCTGCAGGCCCCTCCTTTATCTCACTAGCAGCTGTGGCCGCATTGGCTAGAGGTGATGTCTCAGATGCACTAGGACTGCATCCATTCTATGTTCTGAGCTGCCCAGGCCACTGCCAAATTGCATTGCTTTCAGAGGAGATCTTTCCAATGTGTGTTGTTTTCGCATGCTCGCCTCAGGTCAAGCATGGCCACCTTGCAGGAGTTGCAAGACAAGGCCTTGGTGGCTCGTAGCCAAGACTTGTTCATCATGGTAGGTGCATTGTGATTTGGAAGCATGCCACACAAGCTGCCTTACACCATTCTTATGGCTGCACCTCGTCATGCCTGTCCGCATAGCACAGCCCAGATAGAAACGTTCTGGCTGGGGCAAGGGAGAACTCAGTGCCCAAGTCGGTGAGCATTCGACAGCTGGTTTTAGAGTGGAGCTGTTGATGCATGGCAGGTTGCTGACCTGCAGAAGCAAAATGAGATCTTGGGCAGCAGCCTCAATTTCTGGCACTGCCAGCATAGAAGGTTCGACTTGCTGCAATTGAAGCTAAGGGTTACTCTTGTAGTAGCTTTGACTTGAACGGCCAGCTGCACAATGCCAGGATTGCTGAAGGGTTCCAAAAACCTGGTTCTGGCTGCTGCAAAACATGCCAAGAGGGGCAGGAGGAACAAGCAACAAAATGATGGTCACAACACATCCCTGGCAAGAACGGGGCCCTGATTTCCAGCGACAAAGTTTTGCAGAGCTAAAGAAGAATCCTTCGCAAGAGAGACCTGAAAACAGGACAGTCAGAAACCATGCATCAACGGATTCTGCAATCAGAACTCATGTATGCAGGAGAGGCGGTGCAGCATGGAAGATCATTCAACTCAGTGGGCCGTTTCAAGAAGGATATTGACCAGATCTTCAAGTTTTTCAGTTGTACGAGTCACGCAGGCAGTTCGCTCTGATTCTGCTTTTTATCTGCCTTTCACTTCCCCCAAGCATGGAGGAACCGCAGGCTTGCAAGCGCCCGCGGAGCAGTCAGCGGCAGATGTGTGTACGTACCGGCTTGCGCGCTAGGAATGGAAAACGAGATGCTTGCGGATTATCTCCAGCGGGATGCAGAGAGGACGTCAGGTCTTGAGGACACCGACGAGGCAGGGTTGATTCAGCAAGGATATGCCGGACATGCATCGGGCTGCTCATGACCGGAGTCTGCTCCACAAAGGCCCTTTCAGACCTGCCGTCCTCGCCCGTTGACAAGGGCAAGAAGGCAACATAGGAATTTGCACTTCCTGACAATGATGCAAAACTACGGGGAGGCAGCCAAGGGTGGCCGGCAAGGTCAGCAGCCCTGTTCTTAGATTGGCCTATTTTGATGGCCATCTACTCTGCTTGGTGTCTTCTGGCGCAGATAGCCAATGCATCCTTCATTACTACGAACTGCAGGCGACGCCAGTTGCCGACTGCACTGAACCTGGAGGATTGTGAAACCCCATCAGTAGATACACTGATCACCACTGCGCCGCAATAAAGCAATGACTTGCAGGACAAGTTCAGGATAGCCAACCAGGAGGTACAGCTGATTCTCAAGACACAACCAGTCCCTTGGTTGACATGCTCTCACCGCACAGATGGAAGCGCTGACAAAGGACATCGTGACCCACTCAGACATGTAAAGACTTGTGCGAGTGAATGGTAAGCCATTTCCGCATTGTGACATATCATAACATACCGTGACATACTGTGGCATACTGTGGCTATTGTTGTGACATACTTTGGGTATTGTTATAACTGATGGCGGTCCAAGCGTCACCCTGCTTCCAGAGGTCGGCTCAAGCGCCATCAGATCAAGATCTCCAGTCGTCCCCATGAATCGAACATTGAATCAGAGTTGTGTGAGTACTATACGGTGAGTGTACTGGTGCTGGATGGAAGTGCATCCAGCCATCATTTCATCTCCTCCGCGCGCCCCACATGTTCGACTTTCTTGGACATGGACTACCACGGGCCTTCCAAGATTCAATTTGTCTGCCAGCTTTGCATGTGCAGTAGCTTGCGTGCGGCGAGGGCTGCTGCCTGTCTGTGCGAACTCCAGAGAGTGGGTTCAGCCAAAGAAGAGGCAGCTAAGAGGTCCTGCTAGACAGCCTGCAAAGCAGCCTGCAAAGCAGCCTGCAGAGCAGCCTGCGAAGCAGTCTGCGAAAGCTACCTCGAAGAAGGCGCGGCACAAGTTCCTGGCCCATTTGCAACTGGGTATGTGTGCTGTGTATCTGTGTATCTTTCAGGATGATGTGCAGCTTCCGTGCTTTTCGATGCGAGACCCCTACGCCTCACTCCTGTTGCTTGGCCAAGCTTATGATGTCAGATCAAAGAGGTTCAAAGAGCATGATTCTATGAAAGCCATGAAGGAATCCCATTTGTGAGGCTGCATGGCGTGAAGACCGTGGAAACCCGAAATCACCCCATGCTGAAGGGAGTTGTTGGTCGGCATCCAAGCAGCGCAGCGCTGGTTAGATGGAATTGATACTTGTAATACTTTTTGCTTCGCAACAGGCCCATGTCTGCTCCATGTTGGCTATAAAACAATGGACGAGAGCGCCGCGAGCCCAGAGAATGCAATCGGAATCAGGGTAATTAAGGGCATGGATGGCGGGGTCGTCTCACCAAGGTCGCGTCGGAATTCCTTTGGCGCCGCAACTTGCTCGACGATAAAGACTTGGAGAGAATGCTGAAGCCTCCAGATGGCTTGGCCCGTGGTCAGGTGGGGCCGGTGAGGTGTGGCAAGGTGGCACAGTGGCAAGAACTCTGAAAGCAAAACTTGACCAGGTCCTTGGCCTGCTGGATCTCGCTGCCACCCGACAGAAGCCAGGCTGTGTTGGACAGAGATTCCAATGTACTCCCCTTGCACAGCAAGTTATTTGCTTCAGAGTTCCGGAGTCTGCAAAGCTCGAGGTATTCATCAGATGAATTGAGGCTCCGGCTGAGATTTCCTGGTTCGTATTCTTGCTTTCTGCAGTTGTGCAGTTCCTCGCCCGGAGACCAACAAAATTGGAGACATAGCTGTGGTTTACCCAGATGCTGCACGAGCCAGATCAACAGAGCACCAGATTCGTATGAACCCGGAGATCTGAGAGCCCAAACTGGTGCTGCTACACGTATCTCTAACTACCCTTCGCGCACACTTGGGATTTACTTTGAAGAGGAATTTAGTTTTGTGGTTTTAGGGTGCGGCTTGGGGTTCTTAGGATTTTGGTGAGGTGCAGAGGCCATGTTTGTTTTCCTGGATTTGGTGTTCTGCTAATGTTGGTGGCTTAGAGGAAGGTTTAGGCTTTCAAAGGTTTCGGCTTAGTGCGGTGTTTACAGTTTGGCGCAAGCTGGCGACTCCACTAATGTTTGCAAAGGCACAATCTTGAAGCGTCAGTCCGCCACTCAAAGAGGTTGAGTTGGTTAACAATCTCAACAGTATCTGGTCAGTATGAGGTGGGGTGTTGGGCTTGCTAGGCTTTTTTGCGGCTTGGCTCGGCTTGTGCCCAAGGTCAATTCGTTGATGTGCATGTATTTGCAGGCTCTGAAGTGCATGAGGGAGTGTTTGTTTGTTTCCAGCATCTGTTTTCTAAAGGGATTGTTGAAGATTGGATCATCGCCGGAGCCATAAAAAGGGGTGCAGCTTTTTCCTAATAGGGGCTTCAGCCATTCCATTCCTGCATGGGCTGCATCTGCGAAGCTTGGCCGTCCTCCCCGTTGAGGGTTTCTAGTATTGTTAGAGTGAAAGGCTTTGAGAGTGTTTCTAGGGTTCAGGATATCTAGGTTTAAGGTAGGGTTTGGGGTTTGGGGCGTTGAAGGTTTTTAGGGTTTTTAGGGTTCCTAGAGCTTTTTTGTTTTCTTCGGATTTAGGGTTTAATGCTTTTAGGGCTTTAGGGGGTCGATGGCTTTTTGGTGGTTTAGGGTTTCTACAATTTCAAGAGTTTTGAGGGTTTAGGTTTTTTCAGGGCTTTCGATTTTGTAGGGTTTAGGGCTCTTATTGTTTGAGAATCTTAGGGTTTGGTTTATGGTTTTTAGGATGTAGGGTTTTAGGGTTTAGGGTGCTTAGGGTTTAAGGTTTTTGAGGTTTAGGGCTTTAAGGGGTTTTGAGGGTATAGGGTTTCCAGGGCTAAGGTTTTTTTAAGGGTTTGGGGCTTTCAGGGTTTCTGGTATTCAGACTGTTTAGGCTTTTCTAGGATTTTGAGTTGTGTTTTCACAGCCCCTCGGACATTTGATGCCTGCCAGTCTCGGCACGGGGTTCTTACCACCAGCTTCCATGACCCTTAGTGTAACCTTGTTTTCAATTTGTTTCTAAGGTTTAGGTGTTGGGGTTTAGCGTTTTTAGGGTGAGGGTTGAGGGTTTTTAAGGGTTTAGGTGTTTTAGGGTTCTTAGGGTTCTTAGGGTTCTTAGGATTCTTAGGGTTCTTGGGGTTCAGGGATTTTAAGGTTTTTGACTTTAGGGTGTTTAGGGTCTAGGGTCTTGTAGGGTTTAGGGTTTTCAGTGTTTCGGGTTTTTAGGGCGTTCAGGGTGTTTCAGTTCTTGTTTGGATTTAGGGTTTGTAGGGTTTTAGGGTTGAGGGCTTTAGAGTTTAAGCGTTTTAGGTTTTGTTCGGGTTTCTAGGGTTTCCAGTGTGTAAGTTTTTTCAGGACTTTGGGGCTGAGGCTTTGTAAGGTAGCAGGGTTTAGGGTTTCCGGGGTTTTGGGTCTTCACAGTTGAGGGTTCTTCGCGCTTTTCGGGTATCTGGTGTTTGGGCGTTTTAGGGTTTGTAGAGTTTGTAGGGATAAGTTTTTTGGGGTTTAGTGGGGTTCAGGGTTTCTAGGGTTTAGGGTTTGGCCACCGACTGTATTGGTTGTCATTATGGACTACCATCCCTGTTAGTGTTGGCACCTTTCGAGATGTGCAACATCAAAAAAAAAGAGACAGTTACGCTGATGGTGACAAGGACCCCCACCATCCATGTCACCCCTGGCACTCTGGGGAATTGCGAAATCGAAAACGACGACAGTTGCGAGAATGGCGC